GAAAGTTGCGCCTTTATATGATCATTAATAAGCTTACGTTCTCTACGGCGACTTTTTAACATCTCTCTGCATAAAGGTCACAATGTACAAGATACGAATAAGTTCGGTGTGCCTTATTGCGCCGAGACGTTGTTTTCCTACAATATGACATACACGAATTGCTGAAATTTTACGAACACTGTAGAAGTAACTCCTTGGCAATAATAACCGACATGGTTCGTAAAGAGGCGTCGAGAGGAATCGATCTTCATTCCACTTAGCAATACAGTGTTATCCAGGAGTCACTGACCTTTCGATCGCGTCGAGAGACTAAACAGAGACACCCAATTCATGTATCGCGCAAGCTACGGACGAAAGTCGTGTGCCTTCGCTACGGCATTTACTTACCAACAAGCTGTGTGAGAAACACATAACCAGATAATCTGAGCTAAATACTTTAACCCATAACGGGTGTGTCTTCGCTCCATCATTGTCAAAGGACGAATTATCAGTTGATGAAAGACCTCCGCAGGTTATGCCTACGTGATGACATCTCTTTATTAGACAGCTTCCGTACCAACCTTATAGGTTAGAGAGCACATGCGGGAATTTGGAATCGAATAGTAACTGGTTAAAAACTTCATCATACAACTCGTCATACATTCTTTCGAGACAGATAAACGAGTACCACTACGCCAGAAGGAAACAAGGACTACATCATAAAATCACCACAACAGGTAAGGAAATTTGACTAACAGGAAATATACGAAAATATTGCAGAAAATCCAAAGAATGCCCCAGAACTCACCTGAGACTCCATCATCATTATTTCCTCGACTTCTTCTGTACTACGTTTGCTGGGGTTGGCCTTGTACTGGCAGAATGACTGGAACTAAAACGGAAACAAGAGTATTGGACGAGCACCTCAAGCTCTGCATTCACCGTTACCTGATAAACAAATTCATCAATTATATCCCATAACCACTGATTAGGCAGATTTAGCTTTGCTGGTTCAGGAGAGTTCAGAATGTCGTGAAAAAATGCCTGATAGTTCTGATAAGAACCCCACCTGTGATCAAACGACGGGCCGCGTTGAATTTTCGCGTAGAGATATCGATAGTACAGCTCCTTGTACAACAGTAAGAAGATCTCAGAATCTAAAATTCCACAATTACATCTGAAAGCCAGTTTCAATAAATACTTTACCATTGCCGACAACCTTTCTGACCGAATCTTCCTCTGGCCAAAACTTATCTCGGTAGTACCGTTCGGTCAAATCATGAAATCTTCAAAAATTAAAGGCATCGTAAAACTGCCTCTAATATCATAGAATATTATGTACCCATATTCGTACAGTGAACGAATCTCAGATACGTTCTGTTCCAAAAGACAACGTTTAAAATATCGTAGATATTCGCATACTTCCTCAGTTATGCCAGCGGCTGATCCAGGTTCAGCTCGATAGGAAGAAGACTGAAATATTCATGCTGATTGAAATTCTTTGTAATTACCAATACTAACGCTACTTCATCTGATGCTGGTGTCGCTGAAGCAGAAACTTCGAACTCACGCGGAGGAGCAGCAGCTAGCGGCGGATAAATATCCCTTGAAGTTTCTATATTTCCCTAATCACAATCAAGACAAATAAAAATTATTAATGGCGATATGACAATAATAGTCACTTATACCTCCATATTTTTATTTGTTTCTTAAAGTAAAGCACCGGATACAAATGTATACGCAATAACTACCAGCATACAGGCCGTAGTCGTTGCAAAGTAAAATTACAGTATTCTAAACTGTTCTACAGGTACTGTTACGCTACATAATACAGAGTTTCATGATAGCTACAGAATATAGGTTTGTACATTGCCGAAAGTCTGAAAATGCTGAATGTCGCATCGTGCTGAGTGTGCTACTCATTGGTTCTTAGTTACCTAAAATTTAATTTAATGATAAGCCTTGTTTTAGAGTAGGCAAGTTTATTTTTTTTGTTATAAATTAATTTAGGGTTTTGCGATTTTGAGTTCAAATACTAATTAACCGCAGCCACAGTTGATTGGTAGTTGCAAAATTGTGACGCAAGCCAGAGCTGACGTCATTTTATGAGATGTTGTAATACTGTATTTTGCTCATTGTCAGCTCCGTTTCTAAAGCGAGTATTCTTTCTATGTTATCTGGGGTGATACGTCGGAAAGTGATGGCAAACCCTTAAACGTAACGAATGTAGCTGACGCTACAAATGATTGATATATGTTGGTTCATAGCCTGTATGAGTGGTTATCCATTAACGCGGTGACGGACATCAGTGAACTCCAGAGGTGTCGGGTTCGAATCCGGAAAACTTGTCTCAGTCGTCAATTTCCTTTAGT